AATTATAATTTTTGCTAGGGTTCTAAGTTCAGTATAGTGTTTGGGACTTCCGGTCTTGAGGTTTCCGCCCGCCTTCAGGCTTAAAGGTCAGGGTTTAGGGTTTAGGGTACTCAACTTTTCAACTTTTGGGGTTCTTATAAGGTAGTCGATTCCGAAAGTTTCAACTTTTGTTTCCTAGGGTTTTGGGCCAGTGAGGCTCAAAGGTTCAGGGTTTAGGGTTTAGGAGCGGCTTTGCGGGTGAGTTGAGGGGGTCTGCATGACTGGCAATACTACATAGTCCCTTGCCTGTGCTGTAATATACCCGGCCCCAAAACTCTATTCTAGGACCTAGAGGCCCTTCTTCCCTTCTTTTACGGTTCGGGTTCCCTTATAACCACCCTAAACCCTACTGTAAACCCTAAGCCCTAAACCCTAAACCGTAGCCATTTTGGCTCAAGGCCGTTACTGCTCAAGGATCCTCTCGGGCTGCATGCTCCTTGACAAGCCGATCATCGACATCCTCTTGAAGGTCCCTGGGTGTTTGTGTTGTACGTCAACTGCCTCCCTGGGCGCTCCTCCTCGGTGCCTTCTGTGTGATTCTCCGTGAGCACTTTGCTGGGGTGCCTCCTTCTCGATTACACGTCCTTGTACTTTGACGTCTTTCAAGCATGACTACCACACGTGGGACCCCCACTGAGATTGCTGATTCTAGTGATGAGGACCTTGCATCCGTCAAGAGTGAAGTGAACCACGAGGAAACTGAAGCTCCTGCAGCCAGCAGGGGTGGTACCGATGGAACAAATGGTGAAGCCATGGCTGTGGATGCTACGGGTGGTAGCCCCTCTCGTGGCAAGCGTGCTCGTGAACCTGTTCGTGAAGGTCCTGGGGAGGAGGGAGTGCCTCGCGGGGCGCGTGATCGTAGAGATAAGAATGCCCACAACCATCGTGCACTGTCTCCAGGGGGTGATCAACCTGTCACTTCGCGCGAATTTCGACAGCTTCTCAATGCTCACCTCCAGGCCATGACTGCCTCATGGAAAGATATGGACACTCGCATCGTTGGGGTTGAGCAGTCTGTGGCTGTGGTTGAGCAGTCAGTGGTTGCTGAAAAGAGAAACACCGCGGTCGTCAACTCTCGCCTCACCCAACTTGAGAGAAAGGAAGCTGACATGTTCGTTCGGGTGAATGACCTCTCTAAAGCTGTTGAATCACTGAAAGAGAGCAACTTGAAGGAGCCAGCTACTGCGGCACCTAGTGATCCCTGGGCAGAATATAGAAATCGACATGGACCAGTTCCCAACAATGCCTCGCTACCAGGTGCAAGGGGTGCCGAAGCTTCAGGACGTGATGAGCTCTCCGAGGACGACAAACGCACGCTCATTGTGGGTGGGTGGAACCAGGACACTCGCAGACAGGTTATCATCGAAGAGGGGGCGGTTTTCCTTGCTCGTGATGGGGTGAAAGATGATGTTGATCAAGCCGATCTCACAGTTTGGGGGCCTAGAAGAGCATTTGCTGTTTTAAAGTTCAAAGAACGAGAGGGTGAAGATCTCAAGAAAGTTCGGGAAAGGATGTGGCGTGTCATCCAGGCCTTGCGTGCTACTCCGTGTCGTTTGCCATCCAATGGAGCTGGGGGTGGTACGCCGAAAAGTATGTGGGCATCTTTCAGCAAGACCAAAGAAGCCCGTCGGCGTGCAAGCCATGCCTCCCTGCTGCGACGTGTGACTTCTACCCTTGCAAAGGATGCTCAGTACAACAAAGAGGCCCACAATCTCCAGGCACTCGAGGACGGGGCGTTCGACGTTGACTGGGCTTCTGGGTCTGTTTGGCTTGGTGAATTCAAGGTTGGATCCTCGGCGCATCGCGCTCCCAAGGGGGACAGCGTGAAGGTGATCTCCACTGGGTGGGTGGATGTCATGGCCGTTGCACAGGCTTCGGGGGTGACCTTCGACACTGCCTTGTCGGCAGTTGAGCGGGAGCTGTGACAGGAGGGAGAGAACGGTCGTCTCACCGATAGCTGGGGTGGAGAGCTCTCACAAAGTGACCCTTGCGCTCCACGGCCCAGCAAGACTTTGCATGTCAACAAGTTGATTCCTGGTAACAGAGTTGCGAATAGCCTCAGTCGTCGGGTTGCTTCTTGGAATTTGGGAGGTCAAAGCCTTTCCAAAGCAGACACTATTGGTGGGGCGTTTGACATCATGACCGTCCAGGAGATGCCGCGAAAAGATGCTGGTTGGGATGAACATGTCACTGATTGTTTCACTTGGTTGTCCTTCCGAGGCCCTCTACAATGGCGGGGTGTCGGTGTTGCCATTGCCCATGATATCTATGACGCTTTCACTGACCGGATCTCCTTCGAGTATGGGGCGGCTTGGGTCGTCAGGCTGAAAAACAGCAGGCGCATGATCTTTGGTTCTCTTCATCTCCCCACTGGTGTTCCTGCTCGGGTCTACCATGCGGCGGTACAATCCTTTCGTCATACCCTTCTTCGGTGGCATCCTGATCTTCCATGCTTTGTTGGGGTTGATGTCAATGAAGAGATCATTTGGTCTCGGGCAGATGGGGAGGAAAAGGGTGGTGAAGTTCCGATGAGTGCCGGGGCGAAGATTGACAAGTTCTTGGAGGCCACAGCTGATTTACGTCTTCGTGTTGTGCCTCCCCGATGGGAAGATCGATGGCGTCCGACACACTATCCACGGGATGAAAGCAGGGAAGGCCGCCACATTGATGCGATCCTGTGCCGGATGTTACATTGTGGCTGTGTTCGTGTCAATGAGGAAGTCCGCTATCACATCAACACTGATCACGCTCGGCTTGAAACTACACTTGAGGTCGGTAGGACTCAATGGGGAAAGTGGGTGGACACACGACCTCGCTGGGTTATGGATGGTGCGTCAATCCAGCCGCCGACGACGTGGGACGATGTGAAGAATGTTGCCAAGTTGTCCTCGCGACCTCGTCTGAAGTTGCATACCGAGATCGCCAGACTGAGAAGAAGCGCCGCAACTGGTGGGGTGCTATGTTGAAAGACTGCACCTCCTCTTCCCTTGCTAATGCTGTCCAGGATCACCTCAGTGCTAAAGTCTTCGACGAGAGTCTGGAATGGGATGACGAACTACGTGAACGAGTCGCCGATGTTGTGTGTGATGTCAATGGCTATCGTCCTGTTGATCCAGCTGAAGTCGCTTGTGCACTCCAGAATATGCGAGCCCGCTCTGCACTTGGACCTGATGGGGTGAGCGTCGATGTCCTTCGGAAGATCCACGAGCTGCATCCTGCACATTTCTGTCGGCTCTTGGATGAAGTCTTGTTGAGTGGCAGTGTTCCTGATGATTGGGGCGTTTCCCTCTTGGCTCTGCTGCCTAAAACTCTGACCCCTCTTCAGCCCAGAGAGCTTCGACCCATTGCTATGTCGTGCTCGGCCATGAAGCTCCTGTCGAAGATCGTCATGGGGCGAACCTTTGGCTTTCTACGAGATCCGGCGCCTTGGTCGGCCTGTGGTTGTGGTCGAAGCACGGCAGACATGCATGGTGTCATGGGGCGTCTTCGTGATATGTGTAGGGAATGGCGCTCTGGGGTGATATTCGCCAAGCTGGATGTTGAAGGTGCCTTCGATAACATTAGTCGTCGGGCCGTCGCTGACTACATTGGTGAACGTCTTTCTGGTTGTGAGGTGCCGCATGAGTGGCGATTCTTGCTGCTTCTTCTGGCATCCAATGTTCTCACAGGGAGTGCCCCTGGCGGGGGCGAAGTTTCTGTGAAGTGCAATCGTGGCATTCGTCAAGGAAGCCCAGAACCTGCGGAACTGTTTGGGTTGATTGTCTCGGACATTGTCAACCGCCTCAAGAGTTCTGGGGTGTGGCGCCCTCCATCTGGTCCACTTTGTGACTTGCCCGCGGATGTCGGGACGTACCAGGACGATATCTTCACTTGGACTAGCACGGCCGAGATCCTGCAGAAGAACATTGCCCTCTTATCCTCTGAGCTTGCGAAGGTTGGACTTCGATTGGCAGCCTCCAAAACGACCATTGTTACGTCCAAGTACTACAAGGGACGTCGATGTGTACTTGTTGATGGGGTTCGTGTCCATGCCGAAGCTGAGGGTGTGAGTGTCCGGGTCCTTGGCCTTGACTACAACCTCAATGCTCCTGCTAGCCAACAAGCTCGTGAACTTCATGGTCGGGTGTGGAACGCTTTCCATGAGCACAAGGAACTGCTGTGTGGACCTGGGACGTTCTGGCAGAAGTACAGGATGATCCAGTCGCTCGTCGAGGGGGCGTGGAGCTGGTCGGCCGGGGCGGTCCACTGGGAGACCTCGGACCTCCAGATGATGAATTCCACTCAGTTACGAGTCCTTCGATTGGCATTCGGCATCAGACGGGGTGTGACTGAGGACTGGGTCTCGTACAATGCGAGATCACTTCGACAAGTACGCCAATGGATTGCGTATGCGGGAGCTGAAAGATGGAGTAGCAAGATCTTGCGATTGCAGTTTCAGTTAGCAGGTCACTGGATGCGACAGTGGGAAGGGGCACAACGAGGGCTGGCTGCGAGAATGTTGTTGTGGCGAAACCTGGGGTGGTGGAATCGCGAAAAGAACTCTAAACTCGGCAAGAGGCATCCTCAACGCTTTCGTGCTGCTAACCTTGAACGTTCCCTAGCGACCTCCTTGGGTGAGAAATGGTTTGAAGCATGTGCAGCGAGAGACGCATGGAAGCAGTTGCTACATAAGTGGAGAGAAGACATGGATGTGCCCTGGTGTCGGGGCAGGCAACTTGCACTTGATCTGTGAGGGGTGCAAGCTCTCGAGTCTTGGCTGTTGCACTCTACCTGTGAAGTTGTGCAGACTGAGATGTTGATGCTGCCGCGACCTTGGCTCGTGACCTTGGCATATGTTGGATACTTGCGATCTCTCTTGAACCTTGCAATCTGTGACAATCCCTCAACTTTGTCATGCAGACTTTACGAGACCTCTGTTGTGAGTTGGAGACTGTGCAGGTCCTTCCGAAACTTGTGGCGCCATGGGAATCCCTTGCCTTCGTGGGCGCGTGGTCCTCATCTTCCTGCTGCTCTCTGGTGCCTACTACCTCTGGCCTACCCAAGCTGTTCCAGGGCGGGGTGCTAGTCCCTGGAACTCCAATTCCAATAATGTTCGTCGCGATGCAGAAGATGAGTGGTCGGACGACTGGGGCGACTATGGTGCTTCTTCGTCGACCTGGTCTTCCTGGAGTGGTGATGGGGCGCCTGCTGCTAGTCGACCTTCGAACTCTGCCTGGAGTACCTGGACATCGTGGACTACTTGGACCTCGTGGAGTTCGTGGTCGTCCTGGGCAAGTCCAGATCCTGGGGTGATCGCGTCGAATGGTGAAGGGGCAGCTCCTGGTGGTCACAGTTGGGACGCAACTCAATTCAATATGGGAACAATGTGGCCGCGGGTGCTCGAGATCGTCAACCTGGTTTCTATCGCCATGGACGGTTTGTACCTCGAGCCCGTACAGATGAGGAGCAGAGACTGCACGATGGTGGACAAGGAATGCAACCACAGAGTCGAAGACAGGAACGAGTTCGTCAATGGCGTGAGGGCACTTTTGTTCCCGCCTGGAAGCGCCAAATGGAGGAAGCGGCAGTTCGCATGCATGGTGGAGATGTGCGAGAAGAACCTTTTCGTGACTTCTTTGTGCAGGAACGTGCTCGGACTGTGGCAGTTGGGGCGCGGACAAGTGGGGTGGATACTATCCCTGAGGAGTGTCTTGATGACTCCATCAGTGAGGACCACACGTCGAGCTCTCTGAGCACAGTCTCAAGTTGGCAGTATGGAGATGAGGATGGGGCAACTGGTGGCGGGGATGGAGATCTTGGTGGTGCCGAGTCTGGTGCGGGTGCTCTTCCTGTACATCCTGCTGGATATGATGGCCATGATCATGTACGATCTGCCCCTCCTGTTCTCCCTGGTTGCGATCCTGTGCTATCTGTACGTGCTGTACTACCTGATGAGAAATTTGCTGGGCGACCTGCTGGGGGTGGAGAGGGTGAACTTCTGACTGTCACTGCCTCCGTCCCTCCTGCTGACGACCTTGTACTACCTGTCCACGCTGTACAACCTGGAGGTGATTCGCCTGCACACCCTCTTTTGGACGATCCTGTGCTACCTGTCTATGCTGGCCAACTTGATGGTGATCCACTTGTAATTCCTGGAGGTGATCCTGGGGTGGATGCAACTTCTGATGTTGGTGCACAACCGCCTACTGCTGATGGATCCGGTGTGGGATCTGTGGACGCTCCGCCCCTCCAACCTGTTGGACACGGACCGCCACGTTGGAGTCGCCGTGATTGGGATGACTGGGAAGCCTGGGAGATGCAACAGATGCCACGGCAGGAGGATGATGATGATGTGCAGTTTATGCAGCGACCTGGCAACGATGGTGCAAGACCTACTGGAGAACCGCGTGGTGTACAAGATGAAGATGCAGAGCGTGGGCGACAACAGGGCCGAGTACCGCAGCAAGAAGTACAGGGACGTCAGGGACAACCCAGTCTACTCCTTACACTTGCTGAAGAACAGGGCTTACATGATGCGGGGTGGCCTCTCTTCCACATCAGCCACCTTCGTGACTTCTGTGAGTACCTGGACTGGGTTGCTCGTGAGTATGGTCCTGGGGTGGCAGCCTGGGGCATGGATGCCTGGGCCGATGCCTTGGTGATGGCGAATGCCACTGTCGAGCTGGCACAGGAGACGATGTGGGCTCGCCTGCGCGACGTGCCGGTTATCCGGCCGGACAATGACGCGGTACGTGGTCGTTTGGCAGTTGGTTTTGCTGGTCTACAGCGACAACTCAACGACTTCCACGTCAGCATGGTGCAAGAAGGACTACGTGGACAGTGGTTGCCACAACGTGAAGACCATGACGGGCGACAGTTGCCTGAGCCACCCTTTGTCCGGGGTGATGCCAATGCTTGGGCCTTACAGCGAGCTCGTGCCTTAGCACGTGCTATGGTCCAAACGGCGATGGAGCAGGGGGCGGTGCAGCGAGGTGAAGTTGGTCCGCCTGTTCATGTGCAGATTCCGGCCATGCCACAAACAGATACAGATGCTGCCGAAGATGATGCCGAAAATGGGGCGGATGCAGATGAGGAGGAAGGTGATGTGGCTAATATGATGCAGGTTAACCTTGAAGAAGAGGCCCGTATGAACAACGCCAACCTGCAGACTGAAAGTCGTCGCCACCTTCGTAATTTGCTGCGAGCTCTTGAAGATATACAGCAGCATGGAGAAGGCCCAGAGTATAGATGGGGTGTACAAGCCTTGGTGGAGGCATGGGATGATGGTTTGCAGACCGTGAGTGTTGTGCGCGACATTCTGGCTCGTCGTACGTCAACCCTGGGGTGTCAGCCATACTATCCTGCCACGAGAGAACCGCGGTTTGGACCAGTCCGCAGCCGTGTTGGGGCGTACATGCAGGAGTTTCGCTTCTTGCTGTTACGTGCTCTGGCGGAGGAAGTTGCACTTGGTCTACAAGAGCGCTTTCGTGCTGGGCCGGATGCCTCGGGGTCAGTGGCTGCACCTTTGGCCAACAATGTGGAAGCCGGGGCGGTAGCTGCAGAAGCAATGCGGGGTGGACGCAATACCCGAGTCCGTCGACAACCACGCGGCTCGCGCAGTCGTTCCCGTTCTCCACGGCGACCTGGGGTGCGCGAACCTCCTGGACTACTGCCTCCTGGACACGCTGGTGGAACTAGTGGTTCAAGTGGTGATGCAAGGGGTGCTCCCTCTGGTCCTTCTGTTGTCCCTGCGCAAGCTGTTGTTCCTGTGTCTGGCGATATTGCTGCAGTGGGTGAGCTGGCTGGAAGTATGCCTCGGGGTCCACCTGTTGTACCTCAACGAGATCCTGCTCTGCATCCTGAAAGTGCTGCCGTACGTGAAGGTGCTGATCCTGCAGGTGATAGAGGTGCTCCTGTACGTGAAGGTGCTGATCCTGCTGGTGATGGGGATGCTCATGCTTCTCCTGGTTCTCCTGTTGTACCTCAACCAGACCGTGATCATCCTTCGGCTCTTTCTGTGCCACGTGAAGGCCGTGATCCCCCTGGAAATCCTCACTGGGATGATCGAACTTTGGGTGAAGTTGGGGCTGATGGGGGTGTGATGGAAGGTGCGTCTTCTTTGTTGCTGACCCCGCCACAAATGGTTGGTAGTGAACTCCCTGGTCCTACTGGTGTACATCCACATGGCTCCCCACCTGGACAACATGCTGTTCGTGACGGTGCTGATCCGGTGCGTGAAGGAGGTGCCCCTGTATCTCCTGGTTCTCCTGTCCTACACCAACGCGACAGTGGTCATCCTGCAGCTCGTCCTCAACGACCTCGCAGCAATGATCCTCCTGTTAATCCTCTTGGGGATGTTCGTACTTTGGATGTGGGTGGAACCTTGGTGGATGATGCTAACGATGTGGTGGAGGGTGTGTCTTCTTCGTTGGCATCACTACATCATGACCCTGATGATACTGCCTTGGCATCGGGCACTTTGTCTTCGGCTGTGGTGGGTGATGTACTGAGTGCTACTGTCCTTGGTGATGTCGGGTCGTTGCCTATGGAAGGAGTGTATCTGCAGAGATCTCCGACTTCTTTGTTTTCTCCTGAACCTGAGAGTGAAACTAAGCCTCGGGGTGATCAGTGAGTGGTTAATGTTTATCTTGTGCAAGCCTGTCGAAGGCAGGGTCGTGGAAGCAGAGAGAAAGGCCCACTGCATTTAAAAAAAAACCCTAAACCCTAAACCCTAAGCCCCTTTAAACCAAAGAAGGTCCCGGGTCTTAAGTTTCGGGGTCTGAGAGCCTCGGATCCTGGGGGCTTCGCACTTGAATTCCGAAGAGAGATCCCAGAGACTTCAATATCCCTTAATTAAGGATTATACCTTAAATTATAGTAGGATCCTTAATATGGATGTAAGTATATTCCCTATAGTTACAGAATATTGGAGTCTCTGAGGAGTGTTACTAATGGGGCTTCATACCAACACCGGGTCCCTGGGGTTCCTAAACATGCGAAGAGCTAGACCTCCAAACTCTCTTCTAATAGTCAAGGCTGCTTTATTACCCCACAGCCTGCCAGAAGCTGAAAGAGCTGTACACCAACAAGTTCTCCGACGATTTCTTCTCGCAGTTCGGAACAACCACCCGATGAGGCCTCTTGCGGGTTCGAAAGTCTTTTGGGTTTAGGGTTTAGGGGACAAACTACTTATCATAGTACAGTATAGTATGATACGGTAGATTACAGTATATTACACTATAAATGCATGAACAAAGCTCCATATCATACCACCATAAACAGCCCCACAATTGTCCAGACAGGAGACGGGTAAGCATGTGAGTGATGATTCGAGAGGCTTGAAGGCGGTGGGCTATACTACAGCAGCCCGAGCTTCAAGTGATGAGCATTTAAAAGTAGTTTATGCCTACCGGATCCAAAAACAGTCCAGCAACCTCGTTTTCACGCATCCAGTCCGAATGCCTCCCCGAGAGCATCCATGATGGAACCATGATAACGTCAACCTAGACCCCATCCGTTCCTCCAGAGCTTCCATGATCTAGTTCTCTCGTGCTTAGGGGGAAGGCGGCGTGGTGGGGGTGAGAGCATATATGCTGAACACATCTGAAAACTTTTTGTATCCAGACGACAACAACAACATCAACAACAACAACAACAACAGCAACAGCAACAGCAACAACAACAACAACCAACACTCCAACGATAGCAACAACAACATCACCAAGACCAAGCCGACATTGTAAACTGCATATGCAGCATTTCATAGAAAAATATCGTACGATGTCTGATAGCTGTTTTCAACCACTCAAATGTGTCCAAAACACGCGCCAAAACGCATACAGCATAGAAAGACCACGGACAGAAACGCACCTGCAGGGTAGTTAAAATGAGCAGGTCACAAGCACCTTACTCGGGCTCGCTGGACCTGTCATTACCTCTACACATAGTTATAAAACTCCATCACCTACTTACTTAAGTCCTTTGACGCTCTAAGTAGACCTGGCGCCGTGTCAGGACATGGCTGCTCTGCCTGGGAGTGGCAAGACTGCGTGTGAGCTTGAGGGCCGCACAACCTCGGAAGTCCTAGGGATAAACGTAGTCTGTAATTGAGCTTCTCCTATTCGCAAGCCTTTTTGTAGCCAACTTTCTCAGTCTCAACAGCCTTACTGTCCTACCGGTCTTTGTCTTGGGGCTTTCCGGCTTAAAGTTAAAGAAGAGTTGTAATTAGTGCCTTTAAGGTGAAAGGTTTCGCCGCCAAGGTTTGAAGTTGCTGATCTGCAGTGGGGAAGGGTTTGAGAATAGGTCCCTAGACCCAAAACCCTAAGCCCAGATTGATGTCTCTTTCCGTTGATGCACGCCGCTCAATTGGTGATGTGTTTCATCGTGTCTGCGACGCCGAGCTACCTCGGAGGCCGGTCGCTGTCTCACCTAGCCTGATGCTGGAGAAATTCACCAAGATGCCGAAAAGTTCATCCCTCGCCTCAGTCCCTGAATGGTTGAATCAGCGGATGATTCTCCAGGAGTTTTGAGTTCCAAGACAGAATATGTTTATCTATTTGGGAGATTTCGTTTCGGCATTATGTACCGCACTATAGGGAGAGATCTTGCGTATATAAGAGGCCGCCGGGACAAGATTTCCGCGATAACACCGTA